CTTCACCACGTTTTGCTGTAACTATTTTACGAGGTACTTTTTTTCGTAAGAGCTTTTAGTTGTAGTTTTAGTAAGTTTTACGGCACTTGCAACACAATAAGGTCATATAAGTGCCGAAGATTAGATGTTACAGGAGAGTAAAAAACATAAAAAGGAGGAGATCAGGACGATAGATGTTCGATAGGAAAAAAGAAGCAAACCACACCTACCAAAGTACCCGCCAACCACCCACTTCATAAGCGTTTTACGGCACTTGCTTCACAATAAAGTCATAAAAATTCCGACGATTAGAGGTTTTGATTGATTGAGTAGGCGTTTTACGGCACTCTCGACCCAATGAAGATTATTTAAAAATTTTTTTGAATAGTAGAGGGATTTACGGCGCTCGCAACTGCATTAGGTCATATGAGCGCCAAGGGTTCGGTGTCAACAGAGAAGTCTTTACATGGAATCAGACTTACTCTGCTCACCTCTCTAGCTTCAACAGCACAAGGTCTGCCTCAACTATCAAGGCACCCCGGAAGTAGCAGGTCTCAAAAGAGTGACAAACATACAAAAGAAGTAGAGGAAAATAACAATAGCAAGGATTAGGAAAGAAAAAGCAGCAGTTCCCTGTTGTAGATCAGGCACAGTTATGAGCGTGACAATTCTACTGTGCTTGAACTAGAAATATCCCCCCTTTGGGAATGGCCTAAAGACACTACAGTCAGTGGCACTGACACTCTCATTCTCACTCTCATTCTCACTCTCATTCTCATTCTCACTCTCATTCTCACTCTCATTCTCACTCTCATTCTCACTCTCATTCTCACTCTCATTCTCACTCTCAATCACACTCTCATTCACACTCTCATTCACACTCTCATTCTCACTCTCATTCTCACTCTCATTCTCACTCTCATTCTCACTCTCACTCTCACTCTCACTCTCATTCTCACTCTCATTCTCACTCTCATTCTCACTCTCACTCTCACTCTCATTCTCACTCTCATTCTCACTCTCATTCTCACTCTCATTCTCACTCTCATTCTTACTCTCACTCTCATTCTCACTCTCTCACTATCTCTCTCGCTTTCTCACGCTTCCCTCCCTCTTTCTCTCACTTATGCGTGCGAGTGCGTGCATACACACACACACACACACACACAAGCATATACACACACAAGCACATACACACACGATGCTAATTAATCAGAAATGTAGCAAACAATTTAAAATTTATATTTCGCTGATAAAGTCAAATGAGAATATGAAAGTCTTACTGTGCTGCCTGCAGTAAGGCTGTGATAGACGCCGTCTCCGTTTGCAAAGTCGACGGCGTCCGCTGACTAGTGTAAGTTCCTGGCATTGTCCAAGCTGAAAACAGATTTAAAGAACATTTTAGTTAGTTATAGTAGAGGTTTTACGGCACTCGCAACTGCATAAGGTCATATGAGCGCCAGAAGATTAGGGGTGTTACAAGAGAGTAACAAACATAAAAGAAGGGGAGACAAGGACGATAGATGTTTGAATGGAAAGAAGCAAACCACACCGGAGCACCCGCCAACCACCCACTAATAATATTTACGAACAGATCCTAACTAATCAGCTTCTATTACAAAAAAGGTGAAATGAGAATGACAGTTTTATGTTAGAAAATGGAAGGCTCGCACCTGCCTAAGGTCATATGAGCGCGCGTAACAAGGTTTTTTCTCAACGGTTCATTTCTCGGCTTGATACTGGTCAATATTTCTATTTAAAAATTTATAAACGCTAAAAATCTAGTGTAAATAGGCTTTAGATTTAAATTTAAATTTAAAGCAACTTTCTAAATAACACTTAATTTCGAACAATCTATTTCAAAACTTTTATAAAATCTAAATTAAATCCCATTAAATTCGGAATATCAGGTATACAATGTTGGAAGTAAAAAGTGGAAATTATATATACATGTAGATATCTGAATAAAAATGGGAAACAACAGGTTGCCAAGATCCATTGGGAAGATTGGAACATTAACTTTGTGTCAGATGCGATGCCCATCTGGTGACCTGGAATTTGCCAGACTTTGGGGAGACCTGAAGGAATTACTTTTTTACGCACTGATTTGAAGAATTTGTTCTCCTTCATTGATCCTAACAGAGGTCTCAATGTTTGGTCTTTACTCTAAAAATACGACCTTAACGCAGTTGTAGGCGCTGTTTACCTCTAAAACAAAAGAAAACCAAGAAAGAGGGGAAAAAACATTTTAAAAAGAACACCAAAAAAAAAAAGAATAAATACAGAAACAAAAAAACTTTACAAATCCCACAACAACAACAAAAACTTACGTCGTTCGCTGCCAGTGGTTGATCAGCCTGCAACACCGGCATTGCAAGCTCAGGACGGTCAGGGTGTAAGTCCACTTGCATAGGATCCGCTTGCAACACCGGCATTGCAGGACCCGCCTGTCCCACAGGCATTGCAGGCAACACAGGGGGCTGGTCTCGGCCAGCTTCAGGCCGACCTGCAAAAGAAAAACATACGGTGCGTGAGTGAAACTCTCTTTACAACCCTGCATCTTCTGGTGGCTTTTTTTTACAACCCTGCATCTTCTGGTGGCTTTTTGTTTCACGACGTTTTGCTGTAGCTATTTTACGCGGTACTTTGGTCACTTAACCCTACCCGTACGCCCTGGGGTCATTTTATACCCCCGAGGTTGTTTTCTTCACATTTTAGAATACTTTTAGTATGAAGATCTCTTTGAAACTTTCAGTTAGTTCAGTATGGGGTTTTACGACGCTCGTAACTGCATAAGTTCATATGAGCGCGCGAAACACAAGTTAGTTTTATTCACAGTTCACTGTATACGGCTGTAATTCGGTTTAGATATATATTTTCAATTTAAAACAACTTTCCTAAATAACATAAAAATTTAAATAATTCGATTTGCTCAACAGTTTCCCATAAAGGCCAATGGCCTTCATAAAATTCAAAATTTTGTTGGGATCAACGACGGAAAAAATGTCTTGCAATTTTTTACATTTAAAGTATTTCCTTCGGATCTCTCCGAAGTCTAGACATTAGGTTAAAATGTGTCTAATGCTTCTCATCTCCCTGAAGGAGGTATTCGTGAGTTAGGGGCGTGTGTCCCATTCGTAATCGAGTAAAAACGACTTCATCTCTTCTGGAGAGGTCCGAAGGATTTCGCGGTCCTAGTTTGGGTTTGTATTCACAACAGGTCAAAGGGCGGCTAGGTTTAAGTCAATGACTTAGATTAAACGGCTAAAAATTCAGGGTAAAAAATCCCAGTTTTTTTAAAAGAACATTCAAACAAAATTTAAAACAACGTTATTTACAGTGTGCCGTAAAGGCCAACGGTCTGTATAAAATCGAGAATTCTGTTGGGATCAACGACAGAGAACAGGTCTTGCAATTTTTTTTGCATTTAAAATCCTTCTTTCGTTTCTCTCCAAAGTCTGGACATTCTGTAAAGATGTGTCTAGTGGTGAAATCTGAGTCGCATCCGACCCAGAACGGTTTCTCTTCTCCCTGAAGGAGGTATTTATGTGTCAGGGACGTGTGTCCGATGTTTAATCGAGTAAAAATTACTTCGTCTCTTCTGGAGAGGACCCAAGGTTTTTGTGGACCCAGTGTGGGCATAATGTTGTGAAGTTTTGTTTATCTGTTTCTTCCATTGTGTCTCCTACAGACTGGAGATGCAGTTTTTTAAAACTTTATTTCTAAAGTCAGTCAGTGGGAGAGTGTTTGTCGTTGATCCCAACAGAAGGGACAAGGATTCTTTCGCAAGGAGGTCCACTTGCTCCTTTCCTCGG